CTCTATTCCCCTCCCACTGCTTGTGCCATGTGTTTTCTGTTCATTAGAGGATTGGGTTGGTTGGTTTGTTGTTTAACGCTGCACTTAGCAATATTCCATCTATATGACGGCGGTCTGTAAATAATCGAGTCTGGACCAGACAATCCAGTGATTAATATCATGAGCATTGATCCACGCATTTGGGATTGATGACATGCATCAACCAAGTCAGCGAGCCTGACCACCAGATACCGTTAGTCGCCTCTTACGACAAGCACAGTCGCCTTTTACGGCAAGCATGGGTTGCTGAAGAACCATTCTACCCCGGATCTTCACGTGTCTGGAGGATCTGGACGGTGTCGGATGTTGTGGTCAAGATGATCCCAAAGATATTCTATAGGTGACATGGCTGGTGAATTTCCTGGCCATGGCAAAATTTTAACGTCCTTGACCAGAAACTGTTGTACAACACGAGCTGTATAAAAGAACAGCCTGGGGTAAGCGCTGCAATAACAGTAACACGAGGTCAATGCGCTGCGCAAGAGTGAGTGAGTTTGGTTAAACGCCGCTTTGAACAGTATTCCAGTTATAATACGTATGTCTCAGTGGGCTAGCAGTATAATACCGACATTAGTCCGGACTAGTACAAGCAGCGACACACACACACACACGCACACGCACGCACGCGCACACACACACACACACACACACACACACACACACACACACACACACACACACACACACACGCACGCACGCGCACACGCACGCACGCACAGACACACACACATGCATGCACGAACGTCGCTTTATAAGTGTAATAATCTTGAACGCCACGTTAAACCTCATTTTACCTCGCTTCACCCGAGTGTAAGATATAAACACTGAGATAGCCTTCCTCCAAGGCGGTACTGAAAGATAAGTCCATGGATGTGTAGTATTCTATCCTCCCAATTGGCAAGTCTAGATATGTGAACACTCCAGTCTCTTAGAGGGACAGCCTGTTCTTATTATTTACATAATCTAGAAATTATGATTTAAACTAATAATTTTTGCCTTAGAGACTTGTGCAAGTCTAGCACTGAGCCTATATATATAGTTAGCTTACTGTCCTGGATCCTGCCTCACTGACCTGCCCCGGAGCTGTCACCCCGACTGTATTTACGTTTTAAAGCGGACAACGCGAATTTACATTAGGATCATATTCCACCAGGGCAGATATAGGATCTCTTAATTCAATAACAAGAAAACTTTTGATGCGATGAAAACTCTTTTTTCTTCAAATTATATTTACAATAATATAATTTCCAAAACTATTTAATCATGTTTAAAACAATTTGTAAAAATATTGGTTTCAATTGATTTCTTGTTTAACATCTTCTATGGTCGTTACTTCTAAACGATTACCTCCCTTACAAACTGAATTGGATAAACAATGTCTTGCCACAGTAAATGAGAGCAGTAACCGATTCAGGTCTAAACTATAGGTCACGCTGCATTCCGCTTGCTCTACTGTACTGTCCGCTATACAACACTGTCAGAATACCGCTTTTAAGTAAATGTCAAGAACTGATGCCAAATACACTCCCTGCTGGGGGCGGTCGGGTAGCCTAGTGGTTAAAGCGTTCGCTCGTCACGCCGAAGACCCGGGTTCGATTCCCGACATGGGTACAATGTGTGAAGCCCATTTCTGGTGTCCCCCGCCGTGATATTGCTGGAATATTGCTAAAAGCGGCGTAAAACCATACTCACTAACTCCCTGATGAGGACAAGATGTGTCATATTTTACCCGACCAATTGTGTGATCAAAAGTGCCAAACACTGCAAGGATGTTCTAGAAATTTGAAAATGCACTTTATATAGATAAACTTTAAATGTTATATTACCAAAATACATGTTATCTTTACATAAAGGGCCATTTTAAACAAATGTACAAAAATGTGTTATAATGCATTATATTTTAACACAGTACCTCATAACTCATAAGGAGTGGCATGTAAATTTTACTTACTTATTATTGTGGTAAACATTCTAAAAATATCATGCATTTCAGGGTTTAAATAAAACAATATGCCTGAACAACTAACAATATATCGAGACTTTAACGAACTCGTAGACCAAATATGAAATGCATGTATTTTCGAACACAAATCACACCACCACCCATCACACCACCGCCCATCACACCACCACCATCACTACCACCATCACTACCGCCATCACTATCATCACCAATCACCCTCTCCATACCCTATGCTTGTGAGGGGCGACTAAATGGATCGGGTAACCAGACTCAGTGTCGTAGTTGATTGCATGTCGTCCTAATTTGCTCATGACGTCAGTCACTGGTTAGTCTGGTCAATACTCGATTATTCATAGGCCGACGTCCTATTGCTGGAATAGTGTTCAGTGCGGCGTTAAACAACAACCAACAAGAACCCCATCCCACCCCACCCCACCCCACCCCACCCACCACCACCCCCACCCCCCTACAACCCACTAGAATCGCCACTGCCACCTTTAGAACAGGGGACATGGGAAGAATTAGCTCAATAGAGGACGCTGTAAATGAGCAGCGTGGTCGTTAAACGCATTGAATTCCTCATAACGATCTCTGTGTCCTTTTTCGGAAATGAAATTGCACACGCGAGATGTAGTTGCGCCGAGAACTACATTTTAAGAGAATACTTTTAGATGTGATTCAACTCTGTTGTTGATCATCGAAAGGATAGACACCGAACATATATACTATACAGTATTCAATAATGGGGATACTACTGGCAAAGATTGGCTCTACGAAATGTCAAAAAGTTTCCAATTACGAAGACCTCGCCGTGAACACCTTCAGGGCTGCCGACGCGTTGTGAAGTACATTAACTCCGTCTCTTCATTAACACGGTTACCAGACACCAATCCACTTAGGACTGAAAATAACAAAGGACAAATGGCGTATGCATCAATAAAGGGAATCAAATTACCAACCAATGAACAAAAAGTTTGTTTTTTTATAAATTCCCCCAAACACGTCGTCCACTCAACGAAACACAACCATATATAGCAATAAAAAAGAGTAGACAGGTAGCTCATTTTGGCTTTTCTATAAAACATTAATCAGTATTCAGTCAAACACCGGTAAATGAATGTGTAAGCTTGTCAAATACAGAACACAACATACAATGTAGTATTCACATAGTGTGTGTATGCGCGCGCTTGTACTGATCCGGAATAATGCCGATTTTATGGTGCTAGCCTATACTCAGATACCGTGCCGCACTTAATGCGGCCAGACCAAGTTTCATCCCCTCAATGCCGAGCTCCAGGCAGGGTAAAAACAAACATTATCTTTTGATTGATGTATTTTCGGCATCACCGACCAACAGCTCTCCGTGCAGACGCTCTACTAACGGGATCGGGAGGTCAGGCTCGCTGACTTGGTTGGTGCATGCCATCGTATCTCAATTGCGGAGATCGATGCGCATGATGTCAATCACTTGATTGTCTTGTCCAGATTTGATTATTTATAGACCGCCGTCATAAAGCTGTAATATTGCTGACTGCGGCGTTAAACAACAAACAAACAAACAAACACTACACCACGGAGGCGGTCCCTGTAAGTAACAGGCATGAGTGAGTGAATATCCGGTTTACGCCGCTTCTAACAATGCTCCAGCAATATCACTGCAGGGGACACCAGAAATTGGCTTCACGCACTGTACCTATCTTATTTGGCAAATCGAACCCGGGCCTTCGACGTGGCAAAAGCTGCTAACCCAAAAGGTATTCAATGAGCGAGATGTCTATAAACCAGTGTCCAGGGGTCGCAGGCCCGGTCAGGTCCAGGTGGTGGTGGTGGTATGAGGGTGCACTTAATATGATTTTAACCTTCTTATCCTGTATTTTGGAACCCCCTGGTTGAAAGTTGTTGTTTTTAAAATCGCTTAAACAGAGAGATGTAGAAATAATGACAAAAGCGCTACGACAGTTATAAGGGGAAAAAAGGCTATTCGGCACAAAATTAAAACACGATTTTATTAAAAGTTGTTTTCAGCGAACAGGTTACAGTGGCATAGAGAGCCAGTTTCGTTGAAAAAGCGTGTGCCAAATGCGTTAGAGTTTTTAACAGGTATGTATGTCCAGCGAAAAAGAGCACATGTAAGGTTTTGTCAAAAATATAATCGGAATAATCAAAATTGTTCGGAACTTCTGTGAGATTTAATATTCACATGTCTCTTCGCGGAAGAAGCAGTAACGTTATTTAAAGCGGGTATGTGAAAGTCAATTATTGCCTAAGGAGTTTAAAAATCGAAATACGCCCAAAACCTATATATACGTTATTCTAGATCCGGGTCAGAATTGGTCTTCAGTAACCCATGTTTGTCGTAAGAGGCGACTAACGGGATCGCGGGGGGTCAGGCTCGCTGACTTGGTTGATGCATGTCATTGTATTCCAACTGCGTAGATCGATGCTCATGATGTCAATCACTGGGTTGTCTGGTCCAGACACGATTATTTACAGACCGCCGTCATATGGCTGGAATATTTCTGAGTGCGGCGTAAACAACAAACAAAACATACAAATGGCAATAATTCTAGCAGAAATGCCTGCGTAATGGGCCAAAATGACATTGTTAAGATCATCGTTAAACCCTAACAGACTCATGTTCCAAAGTAAACGTGATATAATGTTATACGAACATGACACTCACACGTTTTTGCATGCCCAAAAATCAATTGATGTCAATTTGAAGACAAAAACGAAGAAAACAATACATGTATAATGTTTCCTTTATCTATATTATAAATAAGGGAGAAAAATACGAAAACCCGTGCACATTTGTATTCATATAAATATGTCATGGGGAGCTTTCTTTTCCCATTCTGTAGCATGCAGACCGTCTCGGCGAATCGATTCTGAGAACTGAAACATCACGTGGAACTGATCGATGTGCTGAGCTTCAGCGTTTGACATTTCCAGGGGAATCCCCTAATGTAGAGCGCCCTCTGTTGCACAGGGGAGGTAATCAGTGGTAGCTGCCGAAGATGGCGGCCGCCAGTCAGATGTTCTTTCTCTCTTTGTTTACGTTACTCACATTGCGTTATGGAGACGCAAAGACACCTTTAATTAGCGTAATCGAGGCATTAGAAAAGTTAGTGGTGTTTTATAAAAATAGTTATCAAGACTTTAACGTGGATGGACTGTTTGGATTGCGTGTAGTAGAAGGTAAGTTTTGTGTGTTGTCAGTGACACTGACAATGTTGTTGATCCGACAATGACATGTTGAGCAGCATGCACGGATCTAGTGAATTATTTTCTTTGTCGATGGCCAGTTTTAATGCTTTGAATTTTTTTGCATACAAAATTCACACCATGGGTGTCCTGATTTGTTTGGTACCAGTATGATATTAGAATTATGGCGATTCCTTCCTCCACCCCACCACGCCTTGTCGCCCCGCCCCCCTCAAGTTTGGGGCCAGAGACCATATACCGATATATACATGTATATATTGCTTCTGATGGGGCACACCCACATGCATTTATCACCTGCTTAAATTTCCTGAGGGATGCAAGCGAGTACATTAAAATCTCATTATTTAATCACGTTTTCAACAAACAAAAATATTGATCATGTTTCAGTAACCTACCTGGTATTACAACTATTAGTAGCAATTTATTAATAAAATTGCTTAGGCCTGATAATTATGTTTTCACTCTCTCCAGTTTCAGTATACTTAACTTTACCTAGGTCAGTCTTTCTTTGGAAAAAAATATGTACAATATTTGCAGCTGTTTACCATTGTGTTAATCATTATCTGTCAATCAGCATAGCCTACCTTGGCGTTATAATGTGTATTTGCAAGGTCATTTCCTTAAGGTTTGTGAAACCTGATTCCATAGTTTTATGGATTATTGATTGAACTTATTGTAACTGAGGCTGTGGGGGTATTTTCAAAATGATCACTGTGCAAACTCAAGCATATGGTAGTATGTTAACTTAAAGGCATTCAACACTTGCAGCTGCAAGTATAAAATTAATATGTTTGTGTGGCATGATAAATAATATGTGTTTCTCTCGTAGTGATCAAAGGAGTATGTACAATTTAACTGATAAACATGTTTATAGCATATATATCTAAAAAACTTCATTTATCACGTTTATAGCTCTTTATGAAGATCCATGGGGACATTATTCTTTAAACATTGCACTCTTGTAAAACCACATGTATTTTGTCAAGTAGCCTTGCTCCAAGGCTGTACTGGAAGAAATGTCTATGGATATGTAGTAATTCTCCTAATAGGCAAGTCTAGATATGTAAGGACTCCAGTCTCTTATAGGGACAACTTTAAAAATTGTTCTTATTATTTACATAATCTAGATCTCATGATTTAAACTAATAATTATTTCCTTAGAGACATGTGCAAGTCTATTTGTCAAGAATTAAGAACAAATATTTCCATTACAGAAAGACAACCTAAAACGTCATCTACTATTATAAAGTGACATTTGGCACAATCAAAGCATATGGCAATGTTCTATTTTCCATAAGATGATAAGATAAGCAAAACAATCTATTTTTAGAAATCAAGAGCAATATGCTGATAGCCATCTTTAATGATGTGTGATTTACTTCAGGTTGAAACTCAGTAAACTGGATAGAGTTTTCAAATGCCTAGACATGTTACATTTCTGTGATTTTTTACCATATAACTAGCCTAATACATTGACATAGTAGAATGTGTAAGTCTCAGTCTCTACTGCAGTTTGATTACCTCAGTCAGTTGGCGGGATGCCTGGATATGCTACATTTCTCCAATGTTCTTAACAAGTTATCATGATATAACATTTATACTAAGTTTTCCTATAATAATTAGATCCACATCAAGTGCTTTTATGACTTATCATGGTGTAATATTTATACATCATTTGATATAATTATTAACAAGCCTAACACATTGACATAGTAGAAGTTCAAAGTGAGACATGCCCTGAGTCACTATTGCAGTTTGATTGCCAACTGGCATTTATGTAACCATGGTAACCTGTTGTAAATATAATACAGGGATTAATGTGGATCTTTCTTTTTGTGAACCTGGGAAGTCTAAGTAATAATTGTGAGGGATCCAAGTGTGACCACAGTACCACGATAAATAAAATGTCCAATGTTTGTGAAGCCATGCAGTTGTTTTAATAAGGAATAGGGTATTCTTAGTGTGATACAATATGGAGTGATTGAGGGAAGAAAATCAGATATGTCCAGTAAACATTTATGTACATGCTACCAAGGCTATATTCAAATTAATATTAATGATTCAAATACATTTTTAAATACTCTGGGTGTCATATTCAAAATTTTATAAGTGAATACTGTCATTTTGTGATAAAGACTGATGGCAATAGGAGATTTCCATGACTTTATAAACATTGGATAGAACATTCTTCAATATCATTACCATATTTATTGGAAAAATTCTAAATGAGATTTAGGATGACAATCAGTCAGTGTCCTCTAAATGAACCGATCTGAAAGCCTGGAATAGAAGGCAACATCTTGTGTCAGAGAAAACCCTTATAATCATAAAACTACATATAATCATGTTAACAGACATATAATGTCTTGAGAATGTTTTTGAGGGAGCATGACTGTGACAGTTCTGGTAGACATGGAGAGTCGTGTGATGTGTTTTGGAGGTGGGTGAGAGGTGGTTAGACAGGTACCCACCCACCATTGTGTCACCTGTGAGATCATCATGCAGGGGACTTGGTGAGGGTTTTATTGTAGGTGCAAGGTTTCCAGGTATTGTATTATTTCATTGTCTCATTTTATATGGGAAAACTAATCCCTTATTCAGTAAATGTAGTATATAAGGTTTGAAATTCCTTGTGTTCAAATATCAATGTTGATGTCGTAATAGTTAGAATAAGTTCCCATGCCTGAAAGACACGCTTAGAAACCATATTTTTGTACATTAATTCGTTTGAGGTTACAGTCTATTATCCCTGTGTTATGGGTTTTTGGACATTTAAGAAACATTCATAGCTTTCTCTCTAATCACATGAACAACTGTAAAACATTTCATTCACTTATAAAAGACATCTTTCTTAAAAAAACAGGCCATCATCGGAGTATTTACAATGTTACTGTGATGCTACATCCCCCGTTATAGCGCGAGTAATTGCGATAAACGTGGCCATCCGAAAACCTATGACATCCGAAAACCTATAATCCTACGATTTATGAAACCTTTGACAACATAGCAAACTTGACAAACACATTGAAAATGAACACGTGAACATGCCTAATGTAAGCTATGATTCACTATGTACCTGGTGATTTAGAAATTGAAAAAGTATGATTAATTACAAAGAAAAGGAAAGGGCTAAACATTCTAGATTACCATGATTATGACTGCTTATTATCTAGCTCAAGGTGAAAAGACATTCACAGTGTGCAAATAGATCAAAGGAATATCTTCGTTTTGGCACGCTTGAGCTCCTAGGGGCTCCATGACCTAAACATCCATTGTTACTATACCCAGTGCAAAAATATCAACATAATTCAAAGGGAAATAGAAATGTTGACAGTATGGACATGATAGATGATGACACAGAGTTGAATTCTACCCATCAACTCAAAAAAAGCAAAGACGTCTGTATATGAGTGCGTCATTGTAATGAATGAGTGAATGCTGTTTTGTGCCGCAGTCAGCAATATTTCCGCCATTGTGGCATGTTGTAATGTAGTGTAGATGAGACAAACAGGGGACTGGAATCATGAGCAGCGTTCTAACTGATCACTGATCAGCGTTAGAAATTGGCACTAGTCCTATAGTCCTTACCAAACTGCCCAAAAGTAAGAGTATCCTAAGGACTAGTAGAAATTGGCCCGTTTTAAGGGTTTTGCTATATGTTATCATTATAAGGACTTGTGGACAAAAACTGTTAGTTTCTAACCCTGCTGATTCAATTACAACCAGCAATAGGATACTGGAGATCTATGTTAACTCATGTCCCCATGAGATTGAATTAATTTAAGATTAACAGTTTATGTAGGGTAACCATGGTAACAGTGAGCCTTAAATATGTATCATAATATACAAGTTTTCAAGATATACTGTCAATATCACCTATTTTACGAATGATTTGGTGCATCTTCATGCACTCGGGCATTGCGTTACAACCAGGTAAGACGCATATAAATGCTTAGAATATGCACAATAAATCAGTATAACCCAATTGATTCTTAGTTACTTGGATATAAATATGCCTGAAAAAATATATAAAATGATAGCTTAACAACACTGTGTTTATTTGTTGTTTAACGCCGCAGTCAGCAATATTCCAGCTATATGACAGCGGTCTGTAAATAATTATGTCTGGACCAGACAATCCAGTGATTGACATCATGAGCATCAATCCATGCAATTGGGTTACGATGACATGTATCAACTAAGTCTGTGAGTCTGACCATTCAATCCCATGAGTCGCCTCTTACTACAAGCATAGTCGCCTATTACGGCAAAAATGGTAGACCTATTCTAACCCAGATCTTCACGGGTCTAACAACACTGTTTGAATACCTGTTTGTCTTCACCAATCTTTATTTACTGATTGCTTGCAAGCATCACATACACATGAATTTAATTTAGATATGTATCGCTGTTCTGAGCTTGTGACAGACTTAGGGCATCACATGAATAGATGGAAATTGGAAGTCACCTGAAACATCACCCAGACTTTTAAGCAGAACTATGTTTGCTCATTGACTTTAAAATACCCAACAGGCTGGGCACAGGGGAGTAAAAATATATTGAATACCCACAGAAAACCGTCACTATGTAAAGTGAATAATAACATGAGCAAATACTCAATTGTTGTAAACATTTATCTGGAGCCCTGTCTCAACAGAACATCATTATTCTCAAAGCAACTTGTTCTAATTCAGTGATGTTTTTTACAACAGTAGAAGTATCAGGTCTTTGAAAGGCAAGTGATACACATAAGGAAGAGAATATATGGATGTCAACTTCTTTATTATGAGGAACACAACGTTTCAGAGTATATACTTACTCCTTCTTCAACCGATGAGTATATACTTACTCCTTCATCACCTGATGAAGGAGTAAGTATATACTCCAAAACGTTGTGTTCATCATAATAAAGAAGTTGACATCCATATATTCTCTTCTTATTAAAGTATTGTTTACATTCCAAGTGTTCAAAA